ACATTTCTTCATGTGCTTGTTAGCCATCTGAATGTCTTCTTCAGTGAAGTGTCTGTTCATATCCTGTGCCCATTTTTCTATTGGATTATTTACCTTTATCTTGTTGTGGTGTGGTGTGTGTTCTCTTGTCTGTCTGTTTTGGTTCCCTGTTCTAAACCCAGTGGCTACAGCACTGTTTGGCACTGAATACAAAATAAACCTTTATTGAGAGAGTTCATCAATTAATTAATTAGTTGATAATTAGTTAAGTGTACATAAAGTATGAGGAAGTTACAGGGAAGCTGAGTTCATCTCAGGATGAGATAGAACTTTCTAATAATTAGAGGCATGTGAAGATGGAAAGCAGCTGGTATAATGGAAATATATCTCTACTTAGAGTGAAAGAAATTAGCCATTTGCTAATTTTAACCTTGGGCAAATCTCTAAGTCTTGCTTAGATTTTTGTTTCCCCCTATTAATTAATGATGATCCTTGCCCTGCCTAATTCACAGCGTTATAATGAAAATGAGACAACATTATCCAAGGAGGTGTGTAATGTGAATTGCTATTTTTCAATTTTTTTTTTTATGCCATTGTGAAATAGAGACCTCTCAGTCGAGCTGATAATGGACACTTGCTGTGTGTCTCTTATAGTGGAAATCCTTTTAGGTAGGGATTTGGACTAAATGGCTCAAGTGCCTTCCAATCCATAGACACAATGAATATGACAAGATAGGTCTGGTGATAAGGAGTTGCTCTGCCAACCCACAGCCACATGATTGGAATTCACCAACTGCAACTGCTCTGATGAGGGAGAAAGCTGGACAGACTCCTCCGGTGTGGTGCAGATCCTCTGAAAACCCACTGGCCGGTCAGCTGTGAGTCACTTACAACCTCGATGGTACATAACAACAACAACAACATTAATATGACTTTTTAACCCATGACTTAACCATTGGTAATCTAACATTTTCAAATACTTGATGTTGTTGAGATACAGAAATACTGGATAAAATAATTTTTGGACTCAAACATACCAAATACTGAGAAGCTTATTTTTCTTCCATGGTAAACAGATTTTTATGTTCACAGCTTCTCGTGTAATTCTCTAGGAAGGAAGAAGATCCAAATGTCCCGTTTCCCCCAGAATTTATGAAGTCTGTCTGTACAGCAGCTCTGTAGTCATACACACTAGGTTGGAAAGAAAAAAAAAAGGAAGGAAGGAAAGAGGTCCTATAAATGAAAATGCCAATGATTGTGGTGTCTGAGTCATTTCAAACCACTAGACCCTTCGTTACTTCCCTAGAGATTTGAAAATCTTGCTGGCTGCTGACTATGGGTTTGCATGGAGACTGAATTTTACCTCAGTCCTTTTTTAAAAAAGTAAGGAATCCACACAAATTCAGTAGCCATTCAGAAAACAAAGAAGGGTGAGGTGCCTTTGGCTTCTAACAGGAGTGTCTCTGAATTCCTCGAGGAATTCCAGGCCTCGGGTTGATCCAGCTGGCAGGAGGTATCGATCTCCACTTGAATTCACTGAATAAATAATGGTTGCCATAGTTATTGAGCAGTCACAACTGGTTGGAGAGCAGGGAAAACTCTGAGCACCTTCTGTGAGTTTGGCCATGAGAAAGTCTGGTTCCGAGGCGCCCTAATCAATCCCCTCCTGAAATCCAGCCAACACATTGCTCAGTTTCTTTACCCTGATAATGAATATGGAATCTTGACTGTTCTGTCAGCCAGGAGGCCCTGAACGAGAGGGAAGGCTTAAATCAATGGATTGGTGTTTTGTTCTAGGAACAACCACACTCTCATTTATATACCTAATTTGATATATTTCACTATTAATAGAATTTAATGTTAACAGAAGAATTGTTTGGTCATTTTATAACTACATTGTGCGTTTTATAATGAAAACACTAGAGGGCTTTGCAAAGACCACGTATCAACTTGTTCTGTTTTAACATTGTTTATTGTACAAACAGCACAAACGAGAAATTTTAAAAGACAGGATCAAAAACTAATACCTCTCCGTCTGAATATTTATCTGTTTCCTTTTATCCTTTTCTATATGCAAAAGTAATTTTTGTATAAATGTGATCACAGCTTTGATACAATTTAAAATTCCATTCTTTATTCAATATTGTCTTTTTCCTTGTGGCTTCACAGTCTGCCTGTTGGCCCTTTCTGATGTCTACCACATCTTTCACTTATATAGATGTATCATTACTTTGTTAAATTTACCCCTATTGTTCAGCCCATAATTTGTTCCGTTTTTTGGTTTTGATTTGAGGGTGTGTGTGTGTGTGTGTGTGTGTGTGTGTGTGTGTGTGTGTGTTTAAATAGCTAATGCAGCACCAGGTATCTTCATGCATACCAGTTTTCTTCTTCCATTCAGCTTTTCCTTTGGTGAATTCCCAAGAGTGGGATTACTCAGTCTGAGTCTATGAACATTTTATAGCCCTTGAAAAGGACTGCCAGATTTGCAGTCTGCTTTTTTGTTTTCAGGAAGGAAGGAGGAGGGGAGGATCTTTAAGCAGAACACCACTGCCAGCAGGATTTCTCTTGAAGTTCACTTCTGGGTGCACCGTTCTAAGACTGAAACCTGCGGACTGCGTATTTAGAAAAGATGAACCACTGGGAGTGGATTCTGCCAGAGATGATTAGCAAATAGTTTCCTGGAGAAAGCAAAAGCATCTTCTGTGAAGCTTATTGCCTTTTGTTTGGCCCTGCAGTGACCAATGCAATGCCATGTATCAGGCATTGTCTTAGGGTAGACTAACACTCTACTATTAACAGAACCCTTTCATGCGATATTTACCTTAGTTGAGCCTCATAACAATCCATGCAGGTAGATTTTATTATAATCCTCACTCTTTCTTCTAATTTGTTATATGGCATTGAGGATTGAGAAAGATGAAGGTAAATCTAGCAAACACTTGTTGTTTCTCTTCTGCCCAGTAATCTCCATTTTTCTTATGAAAACATTGAGCCTTAGAGAGTTTAAGTCACATGGCTAGTAAATAATGGAACCGGAACTGAAACTCAGGTGTGCCTGGCCCTCCTCTTTTTGGTCCCATATTGCATTGAGATGATACATCTGAAAGTTAGGACCCCTTGAGAGGTCCCTTGCCATTTTCATGGTAACTCATTAGAGCTGAAAGGGACCTGGAAAAAAACCCAAACGGTTTTCATGGTAATGCATTGAGCTAGAAGTGACCTTAAAAACAAACAAACAAAAAAACCAACCAAAAACAAAATAAGCAATCCTCTTGCTGTCAAGTCATTTCACTCATGTGTGTTATAACAGAATTGTGCTCCATGACATTTTCAGTGGGTGTAATCTTCATGGAAGTAGATCACCAGGTCTTTCTTCCAGTGCACCTCTCAATGGGTTGAACCACCAGCCATTACTTTAGAAGCAAATAGAACACTCCTTCAAAGTCATTAAATCTAACCTCTTCCCTTTATAGAAAAACCCTAGAGACAGAGGAACAAACTTAAGCCAGAGGGTAAAAAGTATGTCTGGTTAGTTTCTTCATTTTTCTGATTTGCTTTGATTTTAAGGAAATCATTTTCCCAACAAGTGTGTCACCACACGTATATCCCACTGCCAGCACCTCTCTGGTGGTTCACATCCACCCGCAACACTGAGGTAGAAAGACGGGCAATCGCCTTCCATGCTTTTTTATTGTCCCCAAAACTCACTGAGGATCAGCAGTGAGTGTGTCAGTTCCAACTCTATGGCAACGAGAGAGAAAAAGATATTGTCAGCTAAACAATAAGAGTGTGTGTGTGTGTGTGTGTGTGTGTGTGTGTGTGTGTGTGTGTGTGTGTAGAGGGCATTGTCTGTTGGTGTATATACGAGATATCCTACTTAACAAGAACCAAACTTTTCACTTAAAGAAGATTCTCTGATGCTTGTGTGTTGTGGAGAGCAGAGCGATTGGGCTGGATGTCCAAGCTCCCTGCTCGTAACATAGAGGAGGAGCAGTCACACTGGGCCAAGGGGCCACACTGAAGACCTGGGTTAAAATTCAAGCTCTTCGCAGCTATGTGACTTTGTGGAAAATGACTTAACCTTATATATAAAATAAATTAAAAAACTCATTGCCACTGAGTTAGAATGACTCCTGGTTAACCCTCCAGTGGGTTTTCAGAGGCAATCCATTACATGAGAAGAAATTGCCCATCTTTCTCCCTAGAATCTACTGGTGGATTCAAACTGCCTGTCTTTGGGTTGGCAGCACAACTCCTTACTCAGTCCTTACCCAGTAGGCCATCAGAGCTCTAAAACAAAGGATTATAATATTTGACAAGGAGTCCATCTTATATATGATTTTGTAAAATATAGTTTTCTTGGTGTATTGCAAAACGTCCTTGCCACATCTTCCATATGCTTTGTCAGCTTCTCTTCAAATGTTCCATTTCCACAGCAGGACATATATGTGTGTCTTATACAGAGTTCCAGGTGTAGCTCCATAGAGGTGTCAGGAGTGAGGTGGGGCAGAACAAGGAGGACAGTTTCCAGCACCAGTTCGCATGAAAACACAAAGATGCACTTAGTTTTAGCTCATGAGGGGCAGCCCTTGAATGAGCAAACAGATTTTACAGCCCCCACTAAGTGAGCCTGTTCAGATGGGAACATTAATTCACTGGCCTGGATGGGTTTCCACGACACTATGAAGAAGAACTGCCCACTGACTTTCGTCCTATTCTCACCAGCAGAAAATGTACAAAACAATAACCAGGCTGTCATTTAGTCAGGGCAACCGTGTGCCGGGAACCGTGTGTCTGCATTCTGGAAAGCAGCTGACTCCACAATTTAAGAGACTGATCTGAAGGTGCACCGCAGCTAGGAAGGGATGGGAGGGCGGACTCTGGCCATGGTTTTGATACAGAATCTGCTCTAGGAGGAAGGGCACCTTTGTTGTAAATTTCCATCTCAAGCGGTAGAACTAGACACTGGCCTGTTCAAACGGAACTGTCTCCTAACTTTGCCCTTCTCTGTCTTTCTGCAGAACGACATGGGTTAAAAGAACCAAAGAGAGTGGAGGAGCTATGCAACAAGATCACAAGCAGCTTAAAAGACCACCAGAGTAAGGGACAGGCACTGGAGCCCACCGAGCCCAAGGTCCTGCGTGCCTTGGTGGAACTGCGGAGCATCTGCACCCAGGGTCTCCAGCGCATCTTCTACCTGAAGCTGGAAGACTTGGTGTCTCCGCCTTCCATCATTGACAAGCTCTTCCTGGACACGCTCCCCTTCTGAACGGGAACCACCGGGGCAGGGAGCTGCCTCCTCAGCCAGCAGCTGCTTGCAGAGCAGCAAGGAGAGGATCTGGACAGCAACCATTTTTTTGTCCTTCCTTGAGAGAGAATACAGCTCCTGTAGAAAACAAAAGACTCTTTTTCCTTCTTCTTCTGGCACTTTTCCTTACAACCTAAAGCCAGAAATCTTGCAGAGTATTGTGTTGGGGTTGTGTTTTATATTTAGGCTTTGGGAGGGGGGGTGAAGGGGTATAGTTCATGAGGGTTTTCTAAGAAATTGCTAACAGAGCACTTTTGGACGATGCTATCCCAGCAGAGGGGGAGGAAGAAAGAAAAAAAAAGAATAATATAACTGTTTTAAAACTCTTTCTGAGGAATACAATTAGAGTTGCTTTGTATTTAAAAACGGGAACAGCCAAGTGTTGTTGTTTGCCAGGGTGGGATGTGTCTTGAGACTGATCCCTTTAAAATATGCTTCCTGGATCAAGGGTTATGTATGTGGTGCAAACAAGGCAGAAATTCCCTTTTCTGAATTGCTTTCTTCCTTTATTTTAGTTTAACCCATGGCAAGAAATGGAGGATTGCCTAGAAGTCAGACATAGCAAAATAATAATGGTTGTTCGCTTCCATATACAAGTGCAATTTTTAAAGTGCTATCTTACTAAGTCTTGTTGATGAACTCTCCTTTCTTTTATATGTAAATACAAAGGAGGCAGTCGTGTCAGCAAATGACACATGCTGATTTTTCTAGCACAGGCTTTGTCCACCAGCCTTGTAGAACCCTTCTGAGGTATGGTCCATCTAAGACTTTTTGGCCAATCTTGATGGAACCGGATCCCTGCCCTGACTGACCAGCTGTCCTGAAGGGGGACCCACATGAGAAGACGGGTTGCACACAGCCATTTGTTGTGTTCTGCCAACTTTACCAGAGTTCCCCAGACTTGCATTATTGGTAGAGACAGATGAACACATCCATTCTTTCAGAAGGCACAGGAGCGTTCAGTGAGTTAGGCACACATTTGATCCCTAGTTGAGAATAGTCAAATGAACAGGAACTGGATCATACAGGGTAAACATCAGGGATAGTAAGGTTTTTATATATATATACATATATATAAATTTAATTTTTTGCTATCAGTTATAAAGAGGCAATTTTGGAGAGCAAGCAAGTCTTATTAAAATAAAATAGTATGAATGTGAGTACTAGACAGGATTAGCGGGCTGTGTTTCAACATTCCGTGTTCGTACTCCCTTTTGTATGTTTATACTGTTGATGCCATATTATTATGAGATAATTTGTTGCATAGTGTCCTTATTTGTATAAACATTTGTATGCACGTTATATTGTAATAGCTTTGCCTGTATTTATTGCCAGACCAGCAGCTCCAGGAAGCTGAGTTACAGAGTACTTAAATGGGGTGTTCACAGTGACTTGGTACACCAAGTAGAAAAGAAACAAATATATATATATATAAATATAGCAGGTTACATATATATATATTTATAATGTGTCTTTTTTATTAACCATTTGTACAATAAATGTCACTTCCCATGCAGTTTATTCTATGGTTCATTTGCAGTGACTTTTAAGGCAGTACTGTTTAGCACTTTGATATTAAAATTTTGCTTATGTTTTGCTAAATTCAAATAATGTTTGAAGATTTTTAGGTCTGAAAGTCTTTATATATTATATACTCTGTATCAAGTCAGAAATATCTTTGGCCATTTTGCTAAGAAACAAACTTTGAATGTCATACCGATGTCACCGTAGTTTTTGTTAAGCTTTAAATCATTTTGCTTTAGTCTTTTTAAAGGAAAAATAACAAAACTATGCTGTTTATATTATCATTAAATTATACAATCAAACAAATGCCAAATGAATCGCCTAATTGCTGCAAAGGATAGCCCAGATAGCAAATCATATATGTTTTGTTTTTCAAGAGTCATTCTGATATTTGATCATGTATTATGTTTGTATGAGCTTTTATGGAAGAATGTTATTTTTATATTAAGATAATAGGTTTTGAAATGTTTGGGTCTGGGAATGTTAGACTTGGAAGAGGCCTGACTCAATGATTAGTCCAACCCTTCAAATTCATGAATAAGAAAACTGGGGCCCAGCAAAGAGTAAGGACTTACCTAAGGTCAAAGCTAGAAACTAATTTACCTTTCAATGGTCTTTCTACTCAACTTACTGCATTATAGGAAAACAGGCTTTTCAATATAATCACTAATATTTACATTATACCTGAAGATAACCATGAATTAAGTAGTACTTTTACATTAATTTTTGAGCTTATATGCAAACATAATAAACATTGTTAAATATCAGGAAAGCTAACATCTCACACAAGGTAGCTTCAGACCAAATTCAAATTGAATTTGAATAAATTAGAAATACTGTGCATACATAACCCTCTTGTGCACCATTAGTACTTGGAAAGTTGATCCTTGTTTTTGTCATGTCTGTAAAGGAAAAATAAGAACAGCCCTAGGAAATGCTGTTACTTTTTACTTTTACACACATCAGATTTAAGGGAAAGACTTTTTAGCTATGGTATCTGTTGGTTGGAAGGAATGAAGACTTCCTTTTCAGTTATAGGTTCAGATACTAGAGCTGAAAATAAACATCTTTACCAGTGTGCTGTTGTCTTCCATTGTTATTACAACTCTGGGAGCCTACCAAGTTATTCAGTTCAACTCTTTTGGTTTGGTTGGGTTTTGTTTTTAATGTTGACACACAAGTTTATACAGAACGATGACCACACTAGCTCAGTAGAGGACAACGAGAATTAAAGCAGGTGACTCTTCCCCACGGGGGGGGAGAGCTCTCCGTGTGGCCATGCCTTCTGTGGGAGGAAATCAGGAATCCACCAGCTGCTAATGGAGCGTGCCTTGCTTTTACTTCAGACAGCAGAGGTTCCCAAAGTTTCTCTGTTCCTCTAACAGCATTGCTCTTCAGTGTGTGTTAACCTGTGGTTTGAAAGAAATGCTCTTGTACATTAACAATGTAAATTTAAATGATTAAATTAAATTACATTTTATCAATGGCTACTGGTGTGTTGACTAAGCATGCTTCATTTAACAATTATTTATGAGATCGTATTTGCTGTGGACTCCTACATGCTTTATTTTTTTAAAAAGGCTCAGTAGTGCTGAAAACTAATAGGCATTTTAAATTGGAAATATACTAAACCTCAGTGATTGGGAAGAAGGAGAGTCTAAATTCAATAACCACTTATTGAATACTTCCTGTGGATAAGGCACTCCTGGGTATTTTAGAGGACAAACACGTACAGTACAGAAAGCATCATTTCCTTTAAATTATACAGAACTCACAGAAGAACCTTGTAAAAAGAGTGTTGGTAGCATGTGGACAGTCACATCTGACCTTCATTAATTTCCAAAAAGGGGATAATCCTACAACATCCATAAAAGCAAACCAATTCCTGTAAAGTCTCACATGACCTCCACACACGAGCACCTACTCCTACTAATTAATTACACCACCAGTTTTCTGCTCCTCTTAAGCACCTTCTAGTCAGAACTCACTCAGAGCTGACCCTCCTGCAGTTTTTCAGAGGCAGTAAGTCCGCATGGCAGGAAATTGCCCACCTTGCTCCCTCTGGGCTGTCGATGGATTCAAACAGCATGCCTGTGAGTTGGGAGCACAACTCCTTCCATTTCAATGGCCACACAGCTCACAAACCCATCACATCGTGATGGGGCTCACTAGAGAAGTTAGTAGGCAAGCTGCAATGCAGCTTGGAAACAGGGTATATTTCCTCAGGACAACTTCTCAAGCATGCTTTAAAGCCCTGTGACCTTGAGCTTCACAGTTTAGGTCACTGTTACGAAGTTCACCGAGTCTTGCCAATTACTATGTCTCCTCTCAATACTCCAGCAAACAGAAAGTCTTCAGCTGTGGCTACGTGGTGCAGCAATTCCAAGCCAGCTCTGTCCCGTGTCCTTATCTAATTCTCTACTTGGGCTGCTGATGTTCTCATGTAGGTCACAATCTGGTGCAGGAGTCTCTCTAGCTGTGAAGGACACACGCAGCATTATCTACTTCTTACAGAGATTCCCTTCTGCTAAACCTGCTCAATTCAAACTTGATAAGATGGGGGAAATGGATCTATGCCACAGGATTGGTTTATACATATCTTATTTCAGGTTTTCCCCCAGTCCTGTGGTAAAACTCAAAGCCAATGGCTATTTGAACCATAAATCTATAGCATCATAAGCCTCAAGGAGATGGATTGACACAATGACTGCAATAAATGAGCTTAATCATGTCAGAGACTGTGAACATAGTACAGGATAGAGCAAGGTTCTGATCTGTTGTTCATTAGGACACTATGAGTTGTGGTCATTGGCACCTAACAATATGAAGAACTTAAGTGAAACTGGCAATATATTGCCTCCAAGTGTCCATTGGAGGTATGAAAGATTTATATTTTAAACAAAATGATAGAATATTGTTTGTGAACCAGTGTGATTTAATGCCTCTGAAAACCCGCTGGAGGATCAGCTATGGGTTGGTTCCAAGTCGATGGTACCTAACAAAAACATTTACAGAATCGGTGACTTCGAGTTGTAGAGCTGGCAAAGAGTTTTGAACATACCACGGGCTGCCGTGAAAACAAATAGGTCTGTCTTGGAGAGGGCAAAACCA